TGTTATCTTAGGTAAGGCATTGCAAAGCTGATTCACTTACAAAGATACGAGGGAGAATTATTTCTTGATGTTATTCTGATTTCGCAGTCACGGGACCTATAGACTCAGGTCCACTCGCAGACGCCATGGTACAATCTACAAGATCTCAAGAACAGAAATTACCCATTGAACGGCCTCTCCTTTGAGGATTGCGTGTATTTCAATAAAACAGGTACATATTAAAAGAATCTTGTTAGTTTCTCCCTTTTAACGAGCTCAAATCGATGCATAAAACTAAGGTGACGTGCACGTGTCAATTGACCCTGGGGTCAATTAGCAGTTGTTTGGGGCAAAATAACTTCAAAATAATCAATCTATTTTACAAGCGTTCGCAAGAACACCAGACTAACTTTCAGATAATGTTGAAGTACTATATCTCATTAGTTAGTAAGCGGGATTTGGGGTGATTTGGAGAATTCCCCCATATAGAAAATTCGATTTTGGTTTTAGCGGTAAATTGTTGTATTTATAAGCATTATGCAAATTACGTTTCAAAATTCTGCTGGTTCGTCGATATTTTATACTCTAAATCTAAAAAATAAGCCATTCAGAAATTGTTAGATATCTACTTTTTGAGATTTAAGTGGAAGATTGGCAATATATTCGCTCGTTTATGAAAGTCAGCTCATTTCTGTCGCTAGGCTATTTTGCCGTGTTCGGCGGCTAATTTTAGGCCCGCAGACCGTTGAAATCGAAAATCTCAAATAATTCCCAAACTCGGCCGCATTTTGAAATTTAAACCTCAGCAGTGTTGTAAACTCATTAAAACCTTATTACAGACTGAAAATGAGAGTAAGTTAGGTTTTGAGCTGTGGCCACGATTTGCCGATTTTGCTCGATTTTTCTGTGCATTCGCTCTTAAATTCTCTAGTTTGGTTGCTGAGTAACAACATAGTTGGCCTCTATCAGTAGAAACTAGTAAGGCATCTTAGGCTAGGAAAGTAGGCTGTATAGTCACTTTATTTTGCATTAGGAAACGTTTTTAAATGGCACACACAATCTTAAGCCTGGTTTCCATATGATCGCTACGATCTCTGCGATCGCTGAGGAAAAAAAAGTTCGCGGCGATCATAGCGATCATAATGGAAACCACCTTCCAGTGATCGTGAGATAGGAAAAGTTCTATCTCAGCGATCGTTGTCGCTGCGATCGCTACGATCGCTGGAAAGTGGTTTCCATAATTATGATCGCTATGATCGCTGGACTTATTTTTTTTGCGATCGCAGCGATCATATGGAAATCAGGCTTTAACTTTTAACCTTTCAACTTAACGATGCAAAGGGATACGGGGCAAAATACAGTACGATTTTGACACTGCCTAACCGCTTCGTTCAAATGATAGAAATACCAAAAGTCAACACATTTAAAAGTTTCGCTTACAAATAAGTTATATCCCTATATGGTGATGAAGCCTGGAAGCAATATTGTGAATAATTTAATGTTGGATATATGTTCGGCTCACCAACAGCTAGGCAAACAAGCGGAGAAACTGTCTTTTGTGTCTTTGCTTAAAGACTTTTCGATATAAATTATCTTGCAAAGGATACATTTTTTTGCAATCCTTATTTCACATAGCAACTACCGGACCAGCTGCCCAACGGTCTAAGGAAAGATTGACTGGCAACTGGCTACCAAGTTTATTGTCGTGAATTCAGAGCTATAAAAAACATGCAATAACGCCATCTTTTAGCATTTCTTTAGGCTCAAAGCAGGACACAGTTGCTAATCTGCTCGCTGTTTTGGTGAATAGTCAAAAGCATAAGCTCTCTGTGACATCGTTAACAAAGTCTCTGTTCAAACTTTATTGCTCTAGTTCGAGAAAATCGTAGACTTAGCCTTCCATTCTGCCCTTGTCTCGCTCCTAAAATTCATTTCCTCGCCCACGCTATGCAGTCAGCAGTTGCCCAGGCGAGAACTTACAACGTTGTGTTGATATTGGTGTTATCAATGAGAATACAAACAATTATTTGCCCTGTTAGCCGAGAGTTATTTTCTGCATAGTTTTTAGCATGTGGGGAGTCGTTCTTTGGCTTGTTTACGCCCCCGCTCTCAGGGAAGTAAAAAAACCAAAGCGAATATCAAGAACGCCAACAACTTACT